CTGGATCAAAGATATTCATCAACAAACAACACGAAACAAAATGGAAAATATTGTAATAACAACTAACATGGTTACAAAACAAGCAAAAAAGGTCAAGAACTGGAGTGCACCTGGCCTGGACGAACTGCATGGATACTGGCTAAAACACCTGACCAGCCTCCATCATTGCATGGCCACTCAATTTGATGAAATGCTTCAAAATGCAACAAGCGAAGAATGGTTAACCACTGTCCGAACATACTTGATAATGAAAGATCCAGAAAAGGGCATAGAACAAAGCAACTATCACCCAATTACTTGTCTGCCAACAACGTTCAAACTTTTTACAAGAATACTAGCAAATTCAGTATTCAATCATCTGATGGAAAACAGTTTGTATCCAGTAGAACAAAAAGGAAATTATAAAAAATCAAACAAAAAACAAAGGAACAAAAAATCAGCTGCTCATTGACAAAATGATACTAAAAGTGCAAAAGAAAGAAAAACTAATTTAAATATGGTGTGGATTGATTACAAGAAGGCATTTGATTCATTACCCCACAGTTGGATTAACACCTGTCTGAAAAACTTTGGAATCAGCAAAAATATTTGTACATTTTTAAAAGCAAATATGCAAAAATGGGAAACAGTTCTAACAGCAAATGGGGAGAACATTGGTGAAGTCAACATCAGATGAGGAATCTTCTACGGGGACTCACTTTTACCACCACTGTTCAACATCGCATTAATTCCACTGACAATAATCCTATGAAACACAAAACTGGGATACCAAATCTCAAGCCAACATGGCAAGATAAACCATCTGCTATACATGGATGACTTAAAAATGAATGTGAAAAGCCCCTCTGAACTTAAATCAATACTCAACACAGTTCAACAGTTCAGCAGCAACATCAAAATGAACTTTGGACTTGAAAAATATGGTATATTATCAATGCAGCAAGGAAAAAAGGAAAAAATAGAAGGAATAGAAATGGGAAATGGAAACATAGTAAAAGCATTAGCAAAAAAGATGATGGTTACAAATACCTAGGCATATTGGAAGCAGGTAACATTTTGAATGGAAAAGTCAAAGAGTCAATGCAAAAGGAATACATCAGGAGTCCGCAAAATATTAAAATCAAAGCTGAATGCTGGAAACATAATTAAAGCCATTAATACATGGGCAGTTCCAGTGATATACTACTCAGCTGGAATCATCAACTGGACTTTGGCTGAACTGGAAAACTTGGACCGGTAGACTTTTGAATATGTACCATGCTTTACATCCACAAAGTTACATCGACAGGTTGTACCTGCCAAGAAAAATAGGGGGCAAAGGGCTATTGCAAATCCATCAAACTGTAGAAGAAGAAAAACGAAGTTTGAATGATTATGTGAACCAAAGTACAGAAAAATTGCTGCAGGCTGTGAAAACAGAGAACTTTATAAAAACAACAGAAACAAAGGCAGAATATAAGGAAAAACAGTTGGATGACAGATTAAATGGATGGAAAAACCAAAGCTCTGCATGGATAGCACTTGAAAAACATTGAAGGAAAGTGTGATAACAACTTGACATGGGCATGGCTTAAGAGAAGAACCATCAAAAAAGAAATGGAAGGTTTAATACTTGCTTCTCAAGAACAAGCATTACAAACTAATGCCATGAAAGCAAAGATACAAAAATCAACTGACAATCCAAACTGCCGACTTTGCAACAGCTAAGTTGAAACTGTTTCACACTTAATATGCGAGTGCAGCAAAATCACGCAAACTGATTACAAAGCTAGACATGATTGAGTTGTTAAATTAGTCCCCTGGTCATTATGTAAAAAATATGACATACCTGTAGCCGAAAAGTCATGGGAGCACAAAGTGGAAAAAGTTGTCGAAAATGAGACAGTGAAGATCTTGTGGGAAGATCTGTCTGTTTCGAATACAGACGGATCGTCGTTTGGAACATAACACGCCAGATACCATGGTTGTTGAGGGCCAAAGCATATAGTTTATTGATATTGCTGTACCAGGAGACGCCAGAGTCAAAGAAAAAGAACTGGAAAAAAATCACGAAATATCGCGACCTGGCCATTGAAACTATACGGTTATGGATGAAACATGTAACAGTGATACCCATTGTCATCGGGGCACTTGGTACCATGTCCAAGAATTTTATAAGATACATCAACAAATTGGCAGCTTCCTGCAATAACATCAGTGGAACTGCAAAAAACTGTGCTACTTGGAACATAATACATCTTAAGAAGGTACTTGGTTGATACCTAGGACGCTGGCAGCAACCTGTATCAACCATTAGCACCAGTCAATGGTATTTGTGATGCATTTTTGAATGTTCAGTTGACTGAGTTTCATGTTTAATGAATAAAGTAAGTAATAATATTAATACTAATAATAGCCTTTATTGCCATTGTACATATATACAACGAAATTGGTTTAGCCTCTACTGGTGCAATCCATAACAGAAAATACAAGACAACATGAATAGTATAGAGAATAATCTTTATACAAGTAATTGGGGAAAAATGCACTGTAATCTATAAACCATGTTCATTTCTTAAAATATGTGAATAAATGCAGTTGAGGTTTATTTAAGTCACTGTTAAACAACCCAAACTCCATAGTGTAAACCCAGTTGTTCTTTATTGAAAGAGTAGTAAAGGAACTCTCTTCTTATTCGTCCACAAACTTCAACTGGTGATTCTGTTGTTATCTGTTTTTAGGGAATGCTTAATTTCTGGTTCCTATTTTGTCTTGTGATTTTTGGAGCTGCTTTGTGGCTGATTCTATTAGATTCATTTCTTCTCTCCCTGTTCAATCAGGATCTGTAGTACATTTTAACATAGATTGGTGGATGTATTTTGACAATACCTAGATAGTATTGATTCCTCTGGGCTTTAATATACACTCTTAAAAGAGGCCTGTTTAGCATCTTCTTTGTTTTTGCAGAAAAGATAGTCCTCATTTAGCAACTGCCTCATTTAATGACTGTTTGCAGTTTTATGATGGTACTGAAAAAATAACTTTACAACCAACCTCACTTATGACCTCAGGTCTATAAAGCAAAGGAAAGCTGAAGAAAGATCATAAGCACAGAGCGGATGGCCTCACTTAACAACATGTGTCCCAATCATGAGCACTAAATGAGGATTGCCTATAGTGGTTAAAAACCTACTTTTCCAGCTACTTAAATTATGCTAGTAATTTAAACTGTCTCAGCTCTGCAGTCTGGCTCTGCCTTCCATATAAATTGCTTTGTTGCTTATTTCTTGTTTTGAAATCATTTGATTTGTTGTAGTAACAATATATTTTGATGTTTTATTATATTCTATAAGCCCTGAATGTGCTTAATGGGACTAATGAATTGTATGGCTCAACATGATGCCACCTACCACAATTGTTTTGTCATCTTTTAAAAACATATTTTTATGAATTTCAAATTCCATTTATCTGATATCTACTATACAATTGTGATTTAAAAATTGTAAAAAGGTAAAGGTTCCCCTTGCACATATGTGCTAGTCATTCCCGACTCTAGGGGGCGGTGCTCATCTCCGTTTCAAAGCTGAAGAGCCAGCGCTGTCCGATGACGTCTCTGTGGTCATGTGGCCGGCATGACTAAACGCCAAAGGCACATGGAATGCTGTTACCTTCCCACCAAAGGTGGTCACCTATTTTTCTACTTGCATTTTTTACGTGCTTTTAAACTGCTAGATTGGCAGAAGCTGGGACAAGTAACGGGAGCTCTCCCCGTTATGCGGCACTAGGGATTCAAACCACTGAACTGCCGAACTTTCGATCGACAAGCTCAGCGTTTTAGCCACTGAGCCACCGTATCCCTTTAAATTTTTTAAAAATTGTAGTGCAACCTTAATATAGTCTTAGTTGCTTCTGAAAATTATCCAAGACTGAACTGAGAAAAAGAGCAACAGAAGTCTCCTACAGTTCCAGACCATTTGCGCCTTTGCCAAGTTGCTGACATATGAATCTTTAAATTAGGTTAAATAACTTGGTGGTCTCTGGGTAACACATATACTCCCTTAGAGTATTGTCTCTCCCAATTTAATTTTTAGAAGATTCCTCTTTCAAAAGCTAATCAGGCTGCAATGCACCAGACTCTAGTATAATTACTCAGAAAGACCTTTGACCCCCTTCCGGTGGCCCCAACTGGCAGAAAAAAAAGAGAAATATTCATGAGATGAAGAACAGTGTGAGGTGGCTGTAGCAACCTTGCCACTTTGTTTGATGTAGTAGTCAAACAAAGGTAGTCCTTAATAGTCCATTTAGTGACTTCAAAGACATAACAGCGTAAAAAAACATAATTTATTACTGTTTTTCACTTATGACTGTTGCAGCACCTCCATGATCACGTGCTCAAAATTCAAGCCCTTGGCAACTGACTCATATTTATGACGGTTGCAGTGTCCTGGGGTCATGTGATCCCCTTTTGCAACTTTCTGACCAGCAAAGTCAATGGGGAAGCCAGATACACTTAACAACCATGTTACTAACTTAACAACTGCAGTGATCCACTTAACTACTGTGGCGAGAAAGGACAAATGGGACAAAACTCACTTAATAAATGTCTCGCTTAGCAACAGAAAGTTTGGGCTCAGTTGTGGTCATAAGTCGAGGACTACCTGTATTTTTGATATCTGGCCATGCTAATCATAGCAGCCAGCCACTAAAGACTCACAACCTTCAATGAATAAAAGATTTCCACTGTAATGTAGAAAATCAGTGATCAATGGACAATGTCAGATGGAAAGCAGAAATTTGCAAGAGCGGGTGATGCAGGAACGGGTCTCTCCTTATCCTTCTAACAGCTCAGAAGCTGGTAGGCAAGGATATCCACAATGAGCTCGTGACTTATATGGCTATGGGCTAACTTTTGAGTATGAAATCGTTCTTGAGAAACTTCAAGCTCTAAAGGCTCATGATTTAAGAAAGGCCCACCCCCTAAAGAAAACAAGAAGCCTCTATATGACCAGTACAGAACAGACTCCCATTTTCTTTAACATTTATTGATCATGTTTAACTTACTCAGGTATCACAGTTTTTTACATTAAAATATTTCCATGCTATTTCCCCATCCCCATGATTCCCAACCCTCCCCAGATTCAGAGAAAAATAGAATTGACACAACTTCGATGGAATGCATCAAGAGTAAAAAGGGGGAGGAGGCTACTGCACCCAAGTTACAGAGCACACAGAACAAAACAGTACAAAGAAGATCTGCATAGGACAAAGCTCGGGGGGGCCAAAGGGGTGACATGTTGGGATCGACAGTCTTTGCAGCCTTAACCATCACAAACCTTTCCAAGCAACACCCAAGTGGGATCTGGGATATTGTCCTGTAGTTTTGTGATCTGGATCACCAAAATTGGGAGTGCTGGTAGAGGCCACCAGGAATAGGCTGGAAACCAAAACCAAGGTGAAAATGTACCTCGTATTTGCCTCTAGGCTTTGAAAGTCATGCAAGCCCATTCTACAAAAGCATTGGGTTGCCAACCCCATCTGCTGACTAGTGCCAAAGCAATGTTTAGAACTGTGCTCAATGGCTAGTGAACTTCACCTTTGGAAGATGGTTTAAAGAAAAATCCAAGGTTGGAGTAGGGTTCAAACCTAAATACCTTCCAAAGGGTCTCTCGATAACAGACTTTAAAATGGCCCTTTGCATGTTCAGTGTGCCTTCTTACTTTCTGGATCATTAGGGATTGAACAAGAGGACCCCTTGGTCTAAACTTTGAAACAATCCATGCATATTTCAAGCAAAGGCTCCTCAGCTTTGTTCAAACATAAGGGTCTGCTGCAGTTGGAAAACATTGGGCCTTTTTCAGAGTATTTTGAAGACTAATAAAGGAAAAAAAATTAGCTCAGGATTGATATGAGGGGTCCTTGGTGCTCTCTGAGTTGGTTTGTTTTCTTGCAGAGATTTCACGACCCAACTAGGTAATATCAGCAGTGCTGATAACGAGTGATCTTTGTTCTCAAATTATATTCTGGTGGCTTGCCTCTCAGTGTTGGTGGGGTGGTCTTCATTTGGTTGGGCTGTTTACTGTTGGCTCTTTGGCAGTTTCTTGATAACCCAATCAAAAAACTGCCAAAGCACCCACAGTAAACAACCCAACCAAATAATCTCTAAGATCATCTCCAACAACATTGACAGGGCAAACCACTAGAATATAAACCGACAGCAAACCACACTCCTTACTAGCACTGATGATGTTACTTAGTTTGGGTAATGAAATGTCTGCAAGAAAACAACCCAGGTCAGAGAGCACCAAGGACCCCTCATATTTTGAAGACCAATGCTGTACCAAACAAGATACTCGTTAGCTGCAGGCATCCTTACCCTCGCCAACATTGTCCTCTGCCTTGATTACTTTGCAATGAAGTATAGGAAAAAAAGGGAGGAGGAAACTCCCGTTTTGCTGCTGTTTCGTATTTACGTCTACAACTCTGTAAATGTGCAGCCGGGCAATGGGACTGGCCACCTGGAAAGTAGTCCTTAGGCCATGTTTTCACAGAAGAGATAGGAATCATGTACTTTTTCTGGGCAAGCAACAGGATGTGCAAATATTGCAAAATCACTGTTGGGCAATTTCCTAGCCATATAGTAGCTGAAGCCAATGCCGCTTTGTGGGCTTGAAATGCTACCAGTAGCCATGGTAACCTGGTGGATGGCTTTCTCTTGCCCACTTGTTTGCAGAATGGCTTAAGAGTGGAGTAACTCCCAAATACCAAAACTCCCAAGTGGACAAGGAATACAACTTTTCTCAATTTTTGATGGGTCTAGCTTTTCCCTCCACAACTAGATGATTTTTCTTATGCCCCAACAGTCCGAAAATGGCATGGCAGCCAGCTCTTCATGACCACATAAAGGAGAAGAAAAAAAAAACCCCTTGCAGGAAAGCAAAGATAATTCTGAAAATATACCATTTCCTCCCAGGTGTATTAAACCACTCAAGATACCAGTGTTTGAAAAGGAGAGTATTTTAAACTCTGTTATAACTTCATCTTAAAACATCAGCAACACTGGCACAAATATGTCACTTATTCTTGGTTTAATTACAGGGCTGACAAGTAAACATCAACACAAGGGAAGGGGGAAAAATCCAGTATTTTTGGGGGGGAGCAAAAGGAGCAAGCTAATGTTTTGCAGTGGAGTCTCGGGGATAGAACTCTGCCAAAGTGCTCTGAGGAATCCTCTTCAGCATCTCCTTGGGGAAAATACGTAGCAACTGCCAGCCAATGTCCAGTGTTTCATAAACAGTGCGGTTTTCATAGGGCCCTGAAACAATAACAGAGAGCAGGGTCACACGCTGAGATCCAAATGAAACAGCAACACTGTCCCCTGTCATCCGAGTCAGCTTGATCTAGTGGTTAAGGCACCAGGCTAGAAACTAGGAGACTGTGAGTTCTAGTCCCACCTTAGACGTGAAAACTGCTTAGATGACTTTGGGCCAATCATTAGGGGACTATGAGTTCTAGTCCCGCCTTAGGCATGGAAGCAGGCTGGGTGACTGGGCCAGCCACTCTCACAGCACAGTCCACCTCACAGGGTTGTTGTTGTTGGGAAAATAGGAGGAGGAAGGAGTATCATATGTGTTTTCTGCTTTAGTGGTAAAAATAATAAAGGCAAGATATAAATAAATAAATATGAAAGACAATCCCTACCCTGAGCAATGAAGTTCCTCTCAAACTTCTGCAGAAATTCAAGGTAGAGAAGATCATCAGAAGTAAGTGCTTCTTCTCCTACTACTGCCTTCATGGCTTGGACATCCTTCCCAATGGCATAGCAGGCATACTAGACAAAAACAAAACAAAACAAAACACTTTGAAGTCTATTAAGAAACATGTCTCCATATTTCAAGCAATATGAGCTTCATAGGAATTTTGAGATTATTTTAGGCATGAAAGGCAATTAGATATACTTATGATTTATTGGGATCCTACCTCTCATTAAAAAAAATGAGAGCTTGGTTTTTTTATTAAAGATTTTTTTCCATAAGTAAACAAAATAAATCTAATAAAGGAAGCTTTTTAATGCAACAAAATGAAGGAATTATGGACCTCTTTTAGTAATTCCACTTACCAGCTGGTTTGATACTTCAGCATGATCCTTTCTGGTCATTCCCTCCCCAATAGCAGATTTCATCAATCGAGACAAAGAAGGAAGTACATTGATGGGTGGGTAAATCTGGAAAAAGAACCAGGTTTTAACAACAGCTCTGAAAATTTGGAAATGTGACTTCCAGGGAAGAAATGATGGACTGAAGGCGGCTCTGTGAAAAGTGAACAGAACGAAGAGATGGCAAATAGACCGGCTCTTTGATAATTCCTTCCTGGACAATCAAACCAGTGACTTCATATATAACAGGCACAAAGCATTTTACAACATGAAATACTAACCTGTCGGTTGTGCAGCTGTCTGTCTACATAGATTTGGCCTTCGGTAATATATCCCGTTAAATCAGGAATAGGATGTGTTATATCTGCAAGAGAAGTTGCATCAAAGCTTTTCAGTTTCTGTGCAAATTACATGACCATTTACTGATCTGTTTCACATACAACCTATTCGATTTTCAAGGTTGACTCAGCCTCAAGGTTGACTCAGCCTTCCATCCTTCTGAGGTGGGTAAAATGAGGACCCAGATTGTTGGGGGCAATATGCTGACTCTGTAAACCACTTAGAGAGGGCTTAAAACATTATGAAGTGGTATATAAGTCTAAGTGCTATCGCTATTTATATCTTAGTGTGTGTTCAATGAACCCAGCCATTATGGTTTATTTATTACTGAGCTCGAATCCAGCCACTCTGACACACTTGCCTAAGCAGAAGGAACAGGAAAGGCGATCCAAATACAAAGATCTATTAATGAAGAATAAATTCTTCTGCTGGGGAAAGCAAGAACCACCAAATGTTGGGAGAAAACCTGTCCCTTGCCTAGGAAAGCTGTGCAAGAAACTCCTAGAGTTACAAAACATAGCTGCCCAGATGCTCATAGCACTAGTATCTGAATTGTGAAATGTTTGCCCACCAGGCTTAATGCATTTAATCTTAGCCTGCAGGGCAAGGTATGTAGCATCAGATGCAGAGGTTGGGAGAAGTTTCAGGACTAAAAATAAGCCTGAAAGAGAATTTACCATCATTGGGCATGGTAAGAATGGGAATCTGGGTAATGGACCCGCTCCTGCCTTCTACTCGTCCAGCTCGTTCATAGATTGTGGCCAAATCTGTGTACATGTAGCCAGGAAAACCACGCCGGCCTGGGACTTCTTCTCTGGCAGCTGAGACCTTTGGGATATGAAGGTAAACAGGTTGGAATAACCAGCAGAAGCAAGAAAAAAAAACACCTTCTGCTCCCAAAGCTACCCTTTTCTGATTTAGCCTTTGATCCTGCACACCAGAGGATCACTATTTTTCATCCCTCTGATCTCTCTGTGAAAATTAAGACTGTTGCCACCTCCTTAACATAAAGATTTTCCTGAACCCAGAGTCTAGCTGATGGGCATGCAACAGGTTTTCGTACCCGCTGAGGATCTGAATACCGCACACTTCTACGAAATGCCCTTTTGAATTCATTCATGCTGTATATGAAAGACAACAATGTCAGAATATTCTGCAGTAATTCTTCTTCTCAAAAAACCATGACCTTCAGATTCTTAGTTAAATTTATGCCTTACAAGCTAGAAAATTCAAACTGGAGAAAATATTTGGCTGTACAGTTCAACAGTTGTCTAATCAATAGACTACCATATTTTTCAGAGTATAAGACACTCCAGACTAGAAGACGCACCTACCTTTTTTGGGGAGGAAAACATGATATACACTACTGTATGGATATGGGAAATAATATGAAATTTTACCAGTTTGGAACTGTTTTTAAGTTTTTTTCTTTGCATAGATTGGTATTGTAATCAGAATCAGTAAGTTATTTAGCACACAATCTGTTAGATGTAAAGCTTTTTTCCCCTCTCTTTATTTTCCTTCAGGTAACATTTTAATTAAGTTAGTGAAATGCTTTTTAAATTCCAGCTAATTGTTGATTCTAGACAGAAATTTTACAACAAAATGACGCAAAGAAGAGAATAAGACTCATAAAACACTCACAATAACTCTGCCTCTGCCTCCCAGCAATTTGCCTTGTAGCAAACAGCCTGCTTTAGTTTCGTTTTCAGCACAGCTTGATTAGCACAAGAAAAAAAAATCTGCCTCCCAGCAATTTGCCTGCTTGCAGGAGGCCCAGGTGGCAATAGGCAATGGCAAATTCCTGCAGTCTGAAACAGCTGAGGGTCAGGAGGCAGATCCAAAAATCAACTGCTTGTGCTAATCAGGCTGTGCTGAAGCTGAAACATGCTGTTTGCAGTTTGCTGCCTGCTGCAAGGAGGTAAATTGCTGAGAGGCAGAGGCCAAAGGGTGAGGGCCAACGGGTGGGCGGGGCTACATTCAGTGTATAAGACGCACCCAAATTTCCCCCTCTTTTAGGGGAGGAAAAAGGGTGTTTTATATTCCGAAAAATATGGTAAATATGTACCTCTCTCAGAGCTTCTGCGTAGGAACTCATATCTGTCAGAATGACCAACACATGCTTTTCACACTGATAAGCCAAGAATTCTGCAGCGGTCAGTGCAAGTCGAGGAGTGATTATCCGTTCAATGCTGGAAAAAATAACATTAAACGAATTATGCCAAAGTGAAGGACTTGCTTTCTGTCTGAAGACTATCTGAACATAATGAGAAGACAAATGCATCCAGTGCCCCAAGGACTTCACTCCTCTTTCAGTCACCAATAGATGCTTAGATGTTCCATGAAGGCCTACACAATTAATATTAAAGGCCCCACTTTTGGTAATATGATTAATTCCAGACAAAATCCAAGAATGAAGATTCCAGTCCACTTACGTTGGATCATTAGCCAAATTCAAGAACAGACACACGTTGTCCATGGACCCGTTTTCTTCAAAGTCAGATTTGAAAAACCGAGCTGTTTCCATGTTCACCTGGAGTAAAGCAAGGAGATGAAGTCGACCCAAACTCAGCTTACAGAAAATATCACTGTATACTTATGGATGCCTACTATGTTCGTAAATTTTGTCCTTTCCCCCGATTTTAATTTTTTTAGCAAAAAGGGAAAAAAAGTGCTGCCAAAAGTTGGCAGCTGTCTCAGAGTAATGGGGACAAGTTACTCTCCCATGGAGGTGCCCATTTTTCTTAGCAATGAAGGAGAAAATAATTTTGCATGCATTTAATTACTTACTCCCATTGCAGCAAATACAATGGCAAAGTTGTCAGCACTGTAGTCCACCACATCTTTGGATTTCTTCACCAAGCCTGCCTGACGACAGATCTGAGCAGCTATCTGGGATAAAAAAATGGCAATGAATGACTTCAGTGTAATAAAGAGTTGATTATTAGGAAGAATGTAGATGATAACGCTATCCAAGTGTCATTTATGAGGGTAACTGCTTTAATACAGGTAGTCCTTGACTTGCGACTATAATTGATATCATTATTCTGTTGAGCCCAAAATGTAGGAGAACATAGGCAGAGACTGAGGATGGAGTCAAGAGAGTAATCAGCCTAGTCATTATGTTCTCACAAGTGATTCAAGTCCAATTACTCTTGAATTCTATTAACTCTTATTTAGTGCCAATTTAGTTTTGACCATTAGTTGACTAGATTCTTGTGAGTAGGCATGAACAATAAATCGGCTAAACTAGAATTTAAAATGTGGTCCTGATTCTTTGTGCCCGACACAGAATGACAGTTGTAAGTCATGTCAGTTAAGGAGGTCATCATGGGACCAACTTGATTTTACAACAACATTTTGTCATTGAGTGAACACCATGGTTGTTAAGCAAGTCCACTGCCTGCAATGGATACCTTTTGCCAGAAGCCAAGTAAAAAAAATCGTGAATTGTGGTCATATGACTGCAGGACCCTGCAAACAGCCATAAATATGAACACAGGACCGCTGGATAACCTGGGCATCATAACTTTGAATGGATGCTAAGCAACTGGTCATAAGTCAAAGACTGCTTATATTTGGTTTGATTACACCTAATATAGAATGAAGAGTAATAGTTCAGGTATGTAGGCATATAAGTGATCTACCTATCCAATCTCTGAATAATGATGTTCTGGGGGAAAAACTGGATTACAAAGCAAGTCACTTCATCAAAAAATTACTAGACTGAGATATACTTCAAGAACAGAGAAAGCCACATCTCTGAAGGTCAGTCTTCATCTCATATCCTTCAAGAATTTCTGCAAAGGGAGATGAGGTGGCTGTAAAAGGATGCTTCCAGTTGTGAACCACATTTTGTGGAGAGGTGTAACATTTACTTGAAGTGCCTCTCCGCATATCCAAGAAGGCATCCTTGGATTTCATACAGCTTTTAAATGAAATATAATGGAGTTAAGCTTTCAGTATGATTTTAGCTTAATGTTTTGATCTATCTTAATGTTTGGATTTATTAAAGAGTTTTATTTTTAAGCTTGTCTTTATACTTGAGCTCCATGAAGGACTTGCTAGAGAGTGGCCTCCAGTTTTTTTCTTCTTCTTTTTGATCTGTCCAAGAATTCAACCATATGGTCATCTCCGAGTGGAGGAAGTGAGATGATTACTCCATAAAATGCTATTCAAACCCCTACCTCATTATGGGGCAATCCAGCAGCAGAGAAAATGGGGATTTTCTGGCCTCTGGCAATACTGTTCATACCATCTATAGCAGAAATGCCAGTCTGAATCATTTCTTCTGGATAGATTCGACACTGAGGATTGATAGGCTGACCTATTTCATTTTAATGGGAAAAATAGTCCGTTTTAGTCTGCATTTTTGAAGAAAGCATGACCAGCATTTCCCACAAAAATATTAAAATCCAACATACCCATGTTACAGTTCAAGCAATTCGTCTAAAGAAGTGGATATTTCTGAAGCATCTATACCAAGGGTGTCAAACACAATTTCATCGGAGAGCGGCATCAGGGTTGTTTGACCTTGGGGGGGACCGGGTGGGCGTGGCCGGGGTGTGGGCTGGGGGCATGCATTGTCTTCAGTGGAGGAAGGTGAGACCAGGGAGACTGTCAAACCCTTGTCCTCCAGAGGAGCCTCACCAGCCCTCTCAGGCCACGCAGAGGACCCCTGGATGGCAGTGCAGGCTGTCCAGAGCCCTAGGCAGCAGAGGGAAAGCGCCCAGCCCAGCCCTCAAACTCCCAGGGCACCAGGGCACCAGGACCCCAAAGCCCAGCTTCCCCGAGGGGGTGCCCGGCTGTGCATACCTCCTCAAGGCTGCTGTTCTCGCTCTCCTTGGCCAAGTTGCTCATGGTGCATGTTTTAGGCCGTGACGGCCTCCTGCAGTCTCTGCCAGCAAAAATGGATCTCAGGGGAGCTCCCTGGGCTCCATTTTCGGCCACGACGGCCTCCTGCAACCCTCTGCCAATGAAAGCAGCGGGGGGAGGGGGGGCGGGGAGCTCCATTTTCACTGGCAGAGGCACTGTGGACCGGTCCTTCGCTGTTTCTGGCCTAAGGACGAGATTTAAGCACCCTGCAGGCCAGATCCTCAGGGCCTTGAGTTTGACACCCCTGATCTATACAAAGAAAGGTCTTGTGTGAGTTACTAACTGCAAGCTCCTTCTTAATTGACAGCCTCTAAAGATGGTGGGGTACTTTCAAAGCTTGAGGCCACACTGCATTTTTATTATTTAAATTACTACACAGTAATGAGCCAATTCTGGTTCCTTGAAGACCTCACCCAAGAAATGTCCAGTTCTCATAATCACTTAAAGCAAGTTAAAAGTTTCAAGGCCTTGAAACTGGATCTTGCTATCAATGGGTTAGAATATCCTTTAGAATATAAGGTCAACCTTTGAAAAGAGACAGTGTAAGAAGTCTGTTGATTTTCTAGCTTGTGTAGGGATGTGCAAATGAGCCAAGATCTAATTTTAATTCGTGATATGATTTGGATTCCACATGTCAATTTTTGAATTGATTTAAACATTTGGATGAATGCATGCAACAACAAATCTTCAAATTAATCTTCAAATCGATCACTTTATTCACTGAATTCTCAAATCTGTTGCAAACCTCAACTGATGTGATGGGATCGCAGCAATTTGATTAGAATGGGTGTTTAATCATATTCCATTTGACTCCATATTTGCAACTAAACGTTCACACAGTTCTGCTTTCCTGAGCTGTTTCTTTTATTATACTAGTCTACTACTACTAAAGAACTGCAAACCCATTTCCTGTGAGACATTTATATTTTTATATTAAACATTTTAAACATACCCATGATATCAAGATAGTCTTCGGCCAAGACTACAGGACCTCTGTCTATAGGTTTTCCTGAGCCATTAAACACACGTCCTACAAAGATCAAAACGAGAGGGAGGGAGGGAGAGAGAGATGCATTATTAACCACAGAAGCTACCATACTGCATACAAAATAAGATATCAGGACAAGTCACATATAAAGTTTTCATCCAATAAACAAAATCTGATACTACCGAGCATATCTTCAGACACCGGGGTTCGAAGGATATCCCCAGTGAATTCACAAGATGTTCTCTTAGCATCGATTCCCGAAGTTCCTTCAAACACCTAGAAAAGGGCAAATATTTTACTTCGTGTTTTTGTTTTAAAAATAGCATTATGCTTGTCCTTTATTTTAGGCTCCAGCTTCAACAGCTCAAAAATAGCTTTATTGTCACAAGACTATTTTGATGGGAAACTAATTCCAAACCCAACAGGAAATAAGATTACGTTAAGCTTTCCTGGAACAAAAATATTGTGAGACCAGAACCTGAATGTACTTCTCTTTCATAAGAAGCCTGGAGGCACACAGTTTCTGAAATATTACAGCTCAGTTTAATAAGCTCAATGTAAAATCTTATGTAAAAAAAATATTGGACCCTAGAAGAGCAGGTAAGAATACAGGCAGTCCTTAACTTACAACAGTTCATTTAGTGACCATTCAAAGTTACAATGGCATTGAAAAAAGTGACATGACTGTTTTTCACACTTACAACCATTGCAGCATCAAAAATCAGATACTTGGGAACTGGTTCATATTTATGACAGCTGCAGTGTCCTGGATCCCCTTTTGCGACCTTCTGACAAGCAAAACCAATAGGGAAGCCAAATTCGCTTAACAACCTTACTAACTTAACAAATGCAGTGATTCACTTAACACCTGTGGCAACAAAAGTCGTAAAATGGGGCAAACTCACTTAACAATGTTTCACTTAGCAACACAAATTTTGGGCTCAATTGTGGTCATAACTCGAGGACTACCTATAAAAGGGTGTATCCTATTACTTCAGATAACTTATTTTCATTGCAAAATTAGAAATATGACTGGGAAGCAATTTACCTGAACTACAGCTTTGGATCCACTGACTTCTAGGACTTGTCCACTTCTCTTTGTTCCATCAGGGAGTGTCAAATGCACAATCTCTGCATACCTGGGAAACTAAGTAACAATAATGACAATCAACTAGGCCAAGATATTTTTGTTAAGAGCAAGGGAGAACACAAAATTAAAGCACAGAACATGATCTAGGTCATTTCTTCAAATGTAAAGGTTAAATCAGGGTGGATAAAAATTAATGATTTTTTTTAAAAAAATCAGATTTTTTTGATTTAAATCGGATTTTTTTGATTTAAATCAGATTTTTTTGATTTTTATCGAATTTATTTTAATAAAAAACTTTTGGGGTAAAAATCTATCGTAAGATAGTTTTCTATTTAAGATACATAAACAATTTAGTTTATTCAGCATGAAATGGAGCTTAGTTATGTAGCATGAGGCTGTATATTCTGCAACACTGGGACTATCGGTGAGTCAACAGTGGGTCAAAGGAGTAGCAGAGATGACAGTTGCTCTTTAAAAATTATGATTTAAATCGAGTTGATTTAAATCAAGCCTAGTTGATTTAAATCTAGCCTTTTACTAGTGATTTAAATCAAATTTAAATCAAATCCACCCTGGGTTAAATTACAACCTGAAAAAACTTAAGGGAACACTGAATTGTTAGACATAATTATAGACCAGTGTTTTTTCCCAATACCATTTTTACAAGCATTCAGTATGAAATTCTAACAGCCATAGCAATGGCTTGACAGCCACCTGTCAGTGAAAATTTACTATGGCATTTTATGGATAAGGGATAAAATTATCTAGTTTTCTCATCCCAGAAACTGATGTTCTTAAAATGTGATGGACTGCAAACTCCCAACCAAAATTAGATATGCACTGGATGCTGTTGCTAGTCCAATATCAGATGGAAGATGCAAAAAATAGAAAGGGCAGTCTAACTTTTCATGTTTGAAAATCCACAGTGAAATTGATAATGCTTTTGTATTTGATGTGAATATTCAAAGGCATCTGTAAATAAACCCATCGGTTATTTGTCTATAAAATGTTATTTTACTGCATAGGATGGGATGAGATTTGCATGTCTGTATTGAACATGTTGAGAAATGCTGTGTCCACAAGGATGGTGTGGACACAGAGTCCATACATTGATTTGAATGTAATTTTCATTACAATATCAACAATCCCAAATTTACCTTCACTTGATCCAGGATTACGAGCGGTCCATTAACTCCAGATACTGTTTTATATGCTGAAAAGCCAAAATGTAGAAAAGATGTTAAAACACATTCTTAGTCAAAATTTACACAAATGTACTAAGTAATAAGGGAGGCTATGCAACAACATCAAACACATTCTTATGCTTGATAGATCATCTCTGGAAAAGCGATCACAACTAGCTGAGTCATATGCTAGATATGGAGTGCCAATTACAGGTAGTCCTCAACTTATGACTGCAATTGAGCCCAAAATTTATGTTGCTAAGTGAGAAATTTGTTAAATGAGTTTTGTCCCATTTTACAACTTTTCTCGCCACATTTGTTACTGCAGTTCTTAAATTAGTAACATGGTCGTTAAGTGAACCTGGTTTCTCAGTAAACTTTGCTTCTCAGAAGGTCCCAAAAGGGGATCACATGACTCCGGGACACTGCAACTGTCATAAATGTGAGTTAGTTATCAAGCATCCGTATGTAAATCACACGACCATGCGGATGCTGCAACAGTCATAAGTGGGGAAAATTGTCATAAATCATTTTTTTCAGTGCTTTTGTAACTTCGAACGGTCACTCATTTAGTCAACTGTTGTAAATTGAGGACAATCTGTATTGTGAGCTAGCTAAAGTACCCTAAAGATATTTATTATGCCACTGCTTTTTTGCCTCCAGTCTCTGAAAATGTAAAATCATATAAATAGACTATCAACCTGCTATGCAACTCTAAAGTTGCTGACAACTAACTCAAAGGATGTGTGTTATTGTCAAGACTGAGTATATCTAGCCTTCTTTGTTTCACCCTTTGCTACAAAAGTGTTGGGGGCTGGGGGATCACCACAAGTTCAATAGCTGCAGATCCTTAATCTTTAGGACAAACTTTTTGGCACAAGGAAATAAGTCAGAAGCTGCAATCTTCTCAGAGTATGCGAAGGCTCTGTGCCAGAATTTCCTTAAATGAATAGCTGGGAAAGATCATACTCATTTGCACTGGCATCAGTTATCCGCATCTTCTTGAGCACTTGGTAGTGGGAAAGCAATCAGAGGCAGACATTTGACATCCCAGAGTTTCTTACTCTAGGTTAAGGAGATCTGAACTATCCACAGTTGGGCCCACACATGTCTGGAGATGTGTTACTATTTCATTTTGCTTCTTATTCATGACACTTTCAAGGATCAACCGGTTTGAACCAATGTATTCATTTTATATTTCCTAAGAAAATGTGCTATAGACTAGGGATCCCCAACCCCTGGTCCGTGGACTGGCACTGGTCTGCAGCATGCCATAAACTGGTCTGAGCAAACAAGCGAAGCCCCATCCACAGGATACAGCAACACATGAAATCAGGCCTCCCCCTCCCCCTGGTCCACAGAAAAACCTCTCTTCATGGAACTGGTCCCTGGTGCCCCAAAGCTTGGGGGCCACTGCTATAGAGCACTATCTCTGCCACCATCAGTCCCTATAAAGAAGGAGCAGAAAAAAGGAGAATAATTGCACATAAACTGAAATTTGATTCACATATTGCTTTAAATCAGTAATTTTCAAACGGTGGTCTGGGAAGCCTTAGGAGTTTCAGAGACCCCTTTAGGAGTCTATGAAGTCAAATAAATAAACTCTCAATGATTCTGGGGAACTCATACCAAAGAAATTACCGTATTTTTCGGAGTATAAAACGCACATTTTTACCTTCAATAAGGGGGTGAAAATCTGGGTGCGTCTTATAGTCCGAATGTAGCCCCGCTTGCCAGCCCTCACCCTTTGGACATTTTCTGGTAGTTCCAGGCGGCAGGGATCTGGGTCGGGGCACAGCCTGTGGAACAAACCTCTTCAGGATGGTCTGCGGGAGGGGGGGGGAATCTGCTTGGCAGCTTCGGGGAACAAGGTGGCCCCACAGTTCATGGCTGGTCACCCCTCTGGCCGCCCAGCGAGCAGTTCACGGAAGACAATGGTCGTGATGACTTCACTCTCCAGCAATGTGAGGAGCCGCCTCCTCCTAAACCCTCTCTGTGCCCAGGAGCCGAGCCGAGCTGAGCGGGAGTCCCTAAAGTGAAACGTCCCTCCTTTCCAGCCACCGCTGCCTGTTGGCCGGATTCCCCAATGCAATTCCCAAAGCCGCATTTCAGTTCTCCGCTGCAATGTGCAGCGGAGAACTGGGAACTGTTTTGGATTCAGGGAGGGGATTGCAGCGCTGCTGCCTGAAAATTCTTTTCTTCCTGTTGCACATTGCAGAGCCGCGCGCCCTAGTCCTCCTTCTCAGCAGACTCACCTTCTCTTTCCTCCTGGCCAGATCTGCCGCCTGAAACGTGATGCACTTTTTTTGCCTCTGCACACCCCGTGTTTGGAATTGGGAAGGGGATCGCGGGTCTGACACCCAAAAACACTTTCCTTTGGAATCGGGATGGCTGGGCGGCCAGAGGGGTGACCAGCTGCAAACCGTGGGGCCCGCCTTGTTCACCAAAGCCATCAGGCAGATTCCCCCCCAGACCGTCCTGAAGAGGTTTGTTTATCAATCTGTGCTCTGACCCTCCCCCCAGAGCATGCGAGGGGTCTCTTCGGGAGAAAGTGAGTAGTCCCTGCGGATCGCAGGAGCACCCTGATACATTTTCTGGAAAAGAACTTGTCAGTAATCAACACCCTCTTTCCCAGCCAAGTCTCTGAGGCACCTCTTGCTTGCAGGAGGAGGAGGAGGGTGGCATAAAGCAGCATCACCTTAATTGCTGGTAGGCAGAGGTAGGATTTTTTTCTTGTTTTCCTCCCCAAAAATTAAGGTGCATCTTATACTCCGAAAAATACGGTACAATTAAACCAATAAAAAGTAAACATAAAGGAATTACCGGTAATACTAGATATGAACTCGATCCCTGTACCTTTGCCTGGCTCAATGCTTCTGCCAAAGAAGTTTCTCACACTTATGTCCCTCCTGTAAGAAGAGGGCTATTTTATTGGGTGCCTAGTTCTTTATACCTTACAGTAGACAATCCATTTGTACTTTAGTACTAAAGTGTTATAGAGATAATTCTCAACTTACAACAGTTCATTTAGTGACCTTTTGAAGTTACAATGGGACTGAAAAAGTGATTTATGACCATTTTTCACACTTCTGACCCTTGCAGCATCGCCGATTCATGCGATTTACATTTAATGCTTAATAAGTGGTTCATATTTATGAAGGTTGCAGTGTCCCAGGCTATCAGATAACCTTTTGCGACCTTCTGACAAGCAAAGTCAATGGGGAAGCCAGAGTCACTTAACAACTGTGTTAACAATTTAAGAACTGCAATGATTCACTTAACAAGCCGTGGGCCTGTGCCCTGGAGACACAGCTGACCGTGTAAAGTGGCGTTCCGAAAAGCAGACCCTGCACCAGCGGGAATACGCTAGGAAGAAGAATGATTCACTTAACAAACGTAGCAAGAAAAGTAATAAAATGTGGCAAAACTTACTTAATAAATTTCTCACTTAGCAATATAAATTTTGGGCTCAATTGTGGTTGTAAGTCAAGGACGACCTGTATCTGCTTCTCCTGAATGGGTCCAGAAATTTTTTAAAAATTGGAGGAATCACCATAAAATCCTTGATTCTCAGGAACTCATAATTCTAGAGCATCTCTCTCATTCGCCCTTTAAAGAAAACCACCAGGAAACTAGAAACAATCAGCAAGTTTCATTCATTTATTCACTGGATGATAACCCTTAAATCAGCGGTTCTCAACCTGGGGATCGCGACCCCTTTGGAGGTCGAATGGCCATTTCACAGGGGTCACCAAAGCCCTCTCTCGCCCCCCCCCACGCCTTCACTCACCCTCACTCTCTGCTCTGTTGGATCGCCGGCCGTTCGCTTACCCCGCCCACTCCCAATCTATTGCTGCCTCCGGAGTCCCAGCTGATGGCTAGAGGGAAACAAACCAGTGGTGGGATTCTGCTGGTTCTAGGTGGTTTGGCCAAACCATTTGTTAAATTGCTGGCTGGCCCCGCCCCTTGCCAATAAATAGTGGGGGTGGGGCGGGGCGAGGGGTGGGCAAGCCAGTAATTTAACAAACGGTTTGGTGTTTTTTTGCAATTTATTGGCCTTGCAGCACACCGAACTGTTTGTTAAATTGCTGGCTCGCCTGCCCCTCGCCTCCCACCCGTGCGGTGTCAGCTTACCCTAGCCCAGGGCTTGGCAATTGTGGCTCTTTTATAACCTGTGGACTTCAACTCCCGCCTAGCCCATTCTGGGGAATTGTGGAGAATTCTGGGAGTTGAAGTCCATAAGTTTTAAAGCTGCCAAGGTGGGAGACATCTGCTGTTACACTGTAGAATCCTTTCAAGCATGAAGATGGCCAAGTATCCTCCTTGAGAGACAACAGTTTTACATCAGGAGGGCTGTTAGAGGGCAGGGATACATTTGGAAATTTTTGCATTTTTGCAGGTGGTGCAATACAATCTGATGTCTGCAATGTAGAGCAAAATCCAGCTTCTTCTCTCCGCTGTAAGTTCGGCATCAGGATTCCACCTTGGTATATTTGCAGCACAAGGCAGCCCTCCTCTCCTGCCGCTTGGGACTCGGACCGGTAAACAGCGTCTGGTTTGGGGATCAGCCGGATTTTGCTTTCCATTGCTCTTTCAGCCCCCTGCAAGCTCTCGTCTCTCGAGGAGCGCTCCCTGAAGTGGTGCGGGAAACTTTGGTTGGGCTTCTTGAGAGATGAGAGCTTGCAGGGGGCCGAGAGAGCAATGGAGAGCAAAATCCAGCTGCTCCCCAAACCAGACGCTATTTACCGCTCCGAGTCAGCAGGAAACGAGGGCTGCCTTGCGCCGCAAATATACCAAGGCGGAATCCTGATGCTGCACTTAGAGCAGACAGAAGAAGCTGGATTTTGCTCTCCACTGCAGACACCAGATCAGCCCCCTGCAAGAGAATGAGAGAGAGAGAGTGGGGGAGAGAGAGGGAAAGAGAAAGGGGGGGAAGAGAGAAAGAGAATGAGAGAAAGAGGGGGAGAGAGCGAGAGAAAGAGTGGGGGAGAGAGAGAAGGGGGAGAGAGAAAGAGAATGAGAAAAAAGG